TCGACTTGCGATCAGAGTCATGGAACGGATTAAGTTCGTAAGTAGAGGTACCACTGTACTTTGTTATAATTCAGTATTTAGGAAGTCAATGGCTGTCTCAACTCTAAATTAAATGTAAACCTAACATTAGAGTTCAGATTTTATACTAGTTATGATATAGAAATCGTTGAATATTCTTTTTATAAATACAAATACAGGTTTCCTAATAAAACCTATGCATATTTTATAAACATTTATTACAAGAATTTTGTCTTATACCCATATTTGCACAAAAAATGTGTAAAATAAATCTGATACAGGAGCTATTTAGCTACAACATCTGTTCATATTCAGCTTCTTCTTGGCACTTTTTTTTATACAGCTTACCCAGAATAATGATTTTAGAGAATTACAGAAATAAAGATGAACCTGATTCTCAACTCTTTATAAAAATACTTCATTGCCTAGAGATTTTGCTATAAGAACACTTTTGATTCCTGGTGGGGGAAGGTGGTGGCAAATAATCACTTTCTTCAGTAAATATTTTATTTTGAGCATACTGAGGACTACTGTATCAACTTGGTTGTCATACATGAATTGCTAGGAATAATAATTCCCTTTGAGACTGGGGTGGAGACAAGAGCGGTTTTTCTGAAAACTACTGTATTCTTTCTCAGAATCATGCTACAATATAAGTGATCTATTTGATGGCCTATACTTTTCCCCAGGCATCACTGGGTCAAAGCGTGTAGAAACTACTAGAATGTAATAATGGTAGGCATACAGAGAGATGTTTTCTCTCTCTGATAAACTAACAGCAATCTGGTTTGCGATGGTAGAGTTAAAACCACCTCTCACAGTTATATATAAATAATCTATTTATGAACATATTTGTGAAGTAGGCTAAGACTATCAGTTTCAATGGTAAGAAACTATCATCCACAAACAGACAACTTCTGTAGTCAACAGAGGCTAAATAACTTCAAAACTGGGCATCCTTCCGGTCATCTACTCATCTTTTCAAAATCTACCTAATCCAAAAAGATGCAGTCTTTTGGTGCCCCGAGTAAATACTCTTAACATTCTTTGCGAAAGCAAAGCGACAAATGTGAATGGTAAAGTGTACAGGGAAGTGTCACATACATAGAAGTGCTATAATATGCTAGTTGTTCCAAAAAAGATTGAAGGGTTTAGTTTAGGGCTTATACTAGTTTTAAAGTGTCCCCACCCTTTGCCACCAAAATGACAAGAAACAATGGTGGCAAGTTTTGGGAAATGTGATCAGAGGGCTCTAAAGGGAGAGCCCTACATGACCTGAGGCTGCCCATCTCTGGCCTAAGCAATGCAAATCAACTTGCACAAACTTTGAATCCCCAAATTCATAAGGAAGCTTTGGACAAATCACATTCAACTTAGCTTGTTACAGGCTTGTTCTGAAGAGGCTTCCTGGCGAAAAGACAACAACAAATACAGGGAGTCCCCAGTTTAAGAACGAGTTCCATTTCCAAGGTCTGTCTTTAAGTCGAATTTGTATGTAAGCCGGAACAGTATTATTGTAGAATACTGTATAAGTAGTATTTTGGAATTAACTCAAACCATTGTGCATTTAACATGAATCACTGTATATTTAACTCGCATTTTGCTACAATAGGCTCCATTCTTAACTATGAGTCCTCCATAAACCAGGCATTCTTAATCTGGGGACTACCTGTGCAAATAATTATAAAACTTAAATGACTGATGCATTTATTAATTAAAAGGTGTCCTATGAGAAAATTAGTTATATGTTTATTTACATGTATAGTTCATGTAAGGAAAAATACATGCTAAGAGAAAATTGGGAAACTTCAAATATAACTTTAGAATCCCTTTCCTCACCCCACTCCTTCCAGCATGGGAACACATTTATTTCTGTCCTTTTTCAATATTAAAGTTAGGACAATTTCACTGTTTCCAATTTGGTCAAGTTAAATTTGCAGGTGTGAAGAAGTTTCCCACATCTCTCCAATCCCAAAAAATCCATGTTCTTTATATATGACATACATTACTTTAATTTTAAAAAGTCCCCCTCCCATGAATAAACTATAAACAACAATTTATGCTGATCGCAGAGATACAAGAAACACACCAAAACAGGAATGCTTTTCATATACATATTTATATATATTTCATGTACAAAGTTACATTCTGAACCCCCAAGGATTCAATAATAAATACTGAAATAACTTCACTGCTATATGAGCTTATCAGCTCACAGAAAAGAAGCCTCAAGTTTTAAACAGACAGCAGGTTTAATGCTGCAGTATTCATCTCAAGGTTACAGAGGAAAGTAAAATTCAGCATAAAGTGTCTAGACAACATTTTCAAAAAGTTAATGACCATAAAATGTCTTAAAACATGTTTAACAGATAGAGAAATGTGTAGTAATGACATTGTTAGAGAGAAGTATTTAGTGTTCAATGTTTTGAAGTGCAAAACAAAGGTTGTTACAATATGGCATAACCCTGTTAAGAAAATAAAGTTAGCATCCACGAAGAAGTGTGTTTTTCACCCTGTCATTTTTTACAAATTTAGGATCTTTACAAAATCCTTTATGCACAGGGTCAACTGTAAGCGTGCCAAGTCAGTTTCAATCCTTTGGTAGCTTTCATAATACTCACATGGAAATAAATATTTAATTAAACATTATTTTCAGGACACATGTTCTTTAGAACAGTTAGCATATTAGAAGATTATAAAACATTTTAGTTACTAAGGCAGCCTATGATAAAGTGTCTACACTCTGCCAGCTCTAACTGATCCAATGCAGGAAGACCTTGCAAGAAAAGAACTAAATGGCAGAATACATAAACTTATTTTTATCTTTTACCATGCAAAACACATTTACCCAAACAAATCATGTGCTGCATTTTTTGTGCTTGAAATGCTCTCTCAAACGATTAACAAAGCTGTTAACTATCAAGAGATTCATTCCTACTTCTGATTTTAGAACTATGATTACATGAAACATATGACACTCTCAAAACAGATTTGTTAGGCAATTGTTGGATGCTTGAAACTTAGCAAATTTTTATCACCTACAGTTTAACAGCATACTGGAATAGGGAGTGTATCAGTTTAAGTGAAAGTGATCTTCTACATCCATCTTCTAAAACTGCAATTCTTTAGGACAGGGAATAAATTTAAAAATGGAGGGCTGAAAAATGGGGCTATTCCCTCGCTTGCACAAGTACAAGGGTTGATCTCTCTGGTGGACTCATGCTTTTCTGCTGTGAATGACAACTGCCCGAATGAGGACAGAATGGCAGTTTACCCACTGCATCTGGAAAGTCATTAAACATATTATCCAGATGCATTTTTTGTCTGACAGCAAGGAAAGAGAAACAGCTCACTAATAATCTTAAAATGAAAATGCTGACAAAAATGAAAAACATATATGTGCATTTTATTTCTTTTTCCAAAAACTATTCCACCACTAACAAAAAGCTGAGAGGATGCTTCCAAAAACTCTCATCCAAGTGAGATGCCTTGAAAGGCAAAGGGTGACAGGGTTAATGGAACTGGCTGTTTTTTGGATATCTAGAATTATGAACTGCATGACTGGTTCCTACTGCTCTGAGGGTAGGACAAAATCTTAAGAATCTATCTTCTTTTGGCAAGGCTTGTGTGTACCTTTTAGGCACACCCGGTGAAGTTTTCACCAGCTCACCTGAACATCTTCCCCAAACTGACTATTAAGCTTTCCTATGATGGAAAAGTATGAAAGGTGCAACACAAACATGAGTCTAGTACAGGCGCTTATGAATGGATGGGGGGCACTTTCTGGGGAAAAAATCCATGTCCTCTGAATCTTTCTTATAGTTTTTCATCAGTGTTCCTTTGATTATGTTTCCTAAACCCAGCTGAAATTTTTAATTATATTGTGATCAGATCACTTTGGGCATATTGGAGAGCAAAAAAATCTATTACCAAGGTATTAAACATTCAACAATTCTCAATTTATTTTTAACCACACACTTTGTGGTCAAAATACATACTTACCAGAACTCATTAGTTGTGTACAAAATAGGGTGCTTAAAAAGTATTTATACATATAAATCTATAACCAATAGATCTGAAGGGAATTTTATTAACTTTTCATCAGATAAGATGATCGTTTCTTTTATTAAAAAGCTGCCTAAATAAATATTTACACAATAGATCTCAGTTTAACATGATTTTAAAAAGTAATATGTATATATATATATATATATATTAAATACATGTTTCCTTGACAAATGACAAACTGCTCCTATTGCATAAAAATGTTTAGGCAGTTTTTCATGACAATTCCTGGTTTTAAATGTTGGCATTTCAAATTTAGAAATTCTTCCATTCTGTCATGTAGATATTATCAACTCCCATCTAACAAGAAGAGCTAGAGTCTCTTAGTGGACATGAGCTGAATGTTAGTATTTGAATGTTAGTATTTTCACTCCTATTTTAAAACAAGGAAAACACTGAGAAGCTGTTTATCCTCTGAGTGATTAAAAATATAGCATTTAACTTCGTTTTATGATCAGTTGGGTAGCAAATGAGAATACTGAACCCAAAATTTATTGTGAAAAGACAGAATAAGTTGCATGATAGTATCTTTCTAATTCCTCAGATTTACGGATGGACCACTCAGATTTATACAGTGGTGTTCATTCATTAAAATTAGTGACTACACCATTTTATTAAGTCCACCAAAGAAGCATACTGTATAGAACTTCTTTCTTTTGAATGGCATTTACAGGCTGCTAATATGGATAGAAAAATAATGTAATTTAAACTTAATTGAGGTTATTTCTCATTCATTGTTACTGTTATTTTGCTCACCACTTAAAAGAGTCCTTCTATATCCCATGGCAAGAACTGGATCCCCCAAGATCCAATAAGGAGGGGCATGCAAAAGTAGCTTATCTTCTGCTCAAGGAGTATATAAAGAAGATGATTTGGTCTAAGAATGCCCTTTTGAGATAAACTGGATGTTTCCAAGTTAGGTTAAGTAAGGAAACTGGGAAAACCATTCCCCCATAAAATTCCACATTTTTCATTTAATCAGGATAGCAGTACTGATTTTTGGTGCTATTAGCAACTAAATAAACACAACTAAATGCCTGGTAAATTTTAGGTCAAGGATATCAGTATAACAAAGGTTCACAAGATTGGCAGGATTCAGAAATAAAAAAGCAAAGTCTTTTAACTTATTTTAACCATCTCTAGATGCGTTCGTTGTATCTTGTATATTACATACATCTGATGTTCTTGAAATACTACCCAGAATATTACACTGCTGTTTTACTCTATAAATGTTATGCAAATGAATTCAAAATGGTTCCAAATGTAACCTTAATCCATTGTAGAAAGTGGGGAAAAAGAATTCAGTTACAGATTGCAGTGGGGCCTATAAGGTGCATTTTGGAGGCAAAATATGGCATTTATCTGTTTGGGAAGACCAATTTATTCTCGCTTTGTAACACTGATGCAGTAAAACAGCATGAGCTGGTTCCTGTGTTAAGGTTTGAGAGGTTTATGATATAAAGTCAAATGACAAAGAAATGTTCAAATTGTATGCAGTGAAACGGGTTCCACAGAAACAAAACCAAACCAAAGACATGCAAAAGCTTTTGCAGTCTCAAGCCATTTTCCACGGGAGCTTATTCACTGCCACACATAACTTGCCACACTATCAGGTGGCTCCTCTCAGCTTTGGCTACAGAAGGCTCAAGTGGCAATGCTTCTCCAAGGAGTTCAGATTCACCAACTTCATCACCTGAAAGCAAGAATATTTCAGTTGATAGTACAGGCAAATTAGAAAGAATCCCCCCCCCCCAAAAAAGCTGTTACGCTTTATTGCCAATTTGAGATCAAGGGGAGATGGCTATCCATCAGTCCAGAAGCCACTGAAAATGCAAAATTCTCAAAAGATACTGAATTGTGGGTTGTGTCTGTTAGAAGAAAATGCTTTCTGGCACTTTCCTTTCCTATGATAATAGAGCTAAAGAACAGAAACAAGGTCAGCTGTGAAATAATATCAGAAGTTTCCCTTTAGCTAAAATGGATACTTGCTGGGAAGTATTTTGGCAGTAATCCATGCAACCATTCTGGAAAAAGTGCAATAGGTAAGATACAAACAATTCTAATTATCTCTATGATTCAATACAACACATTTATAAAATAGGAAGAGGAAAGATCCAACTTCCAAATAATTGCAGGCTTGAATAACTGGAAATATTTTTGTCATAATGTAGGAGTGGAAACTTGCAGCCCTTGTGTTGCTGCTACAATCCCAGCTTTCTTCACTATTGGCCAACCTAACTGAATTCCTGGGAACTGCAGCTGACTAGCATCTGGAGGTCCCCAGGTTCTCATCTTTAAAGTTTTATTAAGGAGAACTATGGAAAAGAAATGAGAAAGTAGACAACATAGGGTTCTCATTTTACTAACAAAACCAATATCTAGTTTTCCTTACTATCACACTCTAGTAGGAAATAGAACTATGTAATAGGACTTTACATAACGCGAGGTACAGGTAGTCCTCAGTTTAAGAACGAGTTCCGTTCCCAAGGTCTGTCCTTAAGTCGAATTTGTATGTAAACCAGAACAGTATTATTGTATAATACTGTATAAGTAGTATTGTGTAATGAATTCAAACCATTGTTTATTTAACTCGAATTTTGCTAAAATAGGCTTCATTCTTAACTATGGGTTGACTGTAACCCAGGTGTTCTTAATCTTAATCTGGAGGCTACCTGTATACCTATGCTAGTGGGACTGGATCGGTTTTCAATGGCTAACTGAGTTTTATGGCACTAAATAAACTAGTTACGATTTGAAACACAGTCAAACTATGGGAAATAATTATATTTGCCTCCTTTTGATGGCATTGACTAGCCTGACAGGAGCAGATTTTTTTCCTTCCAAAAAAGCAAACATTTTTTGAAAATCTGGCCTGCCTATAAGGCCCAGAATACATATCTAATTTTCTATTAATACAGAAAGAGTTGGCATTAAAAAAAACAAACTCAAATCAAGACACCCTTAAACCTAATTCAAATGCTATCTTATTGATTATTATTTAATGGCATGTTCTAAGGTAATAATAAAATATATTTGGAAAGTTGAAGTTCTTACCCATTCTGAAGTCAATGTACCCTTCTCCTCCACTTATCACCAGTATTGATTTTAAAGGACTCTGGCTGTTGGGTTCCTGTGCAGAAATTCTTTCACCAGATAATTCTGAGCCTCCTCCCACTTGGGGACAAACCACCTGACCTAGATGTGAACAAAGTATTTATGTTACTTTTTTGTAGAGCAAATTAGGAATATAAAGCTCTGCTGAAGTGCTTAAATGGATCCTTGCAAAAGAGACCTTTAATATACTTCCCCAAAATTATCCTCCTCACAATACAAAAAGCCAAAAAAAATGAATTTTCTGCATTTCACTTTCCAAGCTGCTTGGCTTTTGTAGCTAGAACGAAAATTTACCACAATTTTTGATGAACAGATGATCTATCTCAAGAACAGTGACAACAGACTTCACATTCACTATGAGAACTGTACTCAACTCTCTCCATCAACAAACAGAATGGCCTATCCTGGGAATTAGATTAAATTCCTCTGTTGAGTGCCCTCAAATTTGTGCTTGGTTGGGGAACTCTTCAGAACAGACTTGAATGCACACAGAGGGGCAGGAGTGAGGAATCAAGAAAAATCTGTTTCTTGTCTGTGGAAATTGGTTCTCGTAGCCTTCAAATAGCCAAAAGCCCGAAGTGTTGCTACACTGCAAATAACAAGGCAAGTATTAAATGGTTTTGAGGTCTGACTGAAACAATATTTTCCAATTTAACTGGTCTTTAGATTGCTGACCTTCTGCAAGCTTCTAAAACCTGAATTATGTTAGAAAGCCTTTGGAAACTGATTGATTCACTGATTCATTCAATTTATATGGCCGCCCATCTCAAACAAGTGACTCTGGGCGGTAATCAATTATAAAATCAATTATAATCAAATTACAAACACAATTCAAAAGAAAATTAAACATATATAGCAGCTGAGAAAATTATAATCCATAGATGCTAATATAACCAGGAAACAGGGCCCTTAACAGAGTTGAGACCCAAGGCCCAGGCACATAACAAGGTCTTCACAGCCTTATGAAAGGCCAACAGGGTCGGGGCCATCCTAATCTCTGGAGGGAGAATGATGCTATTAGGTTGCACTGGGGATTGATTTGTGTTGCTGTTTGATTTGTATTCTTAGTAATTTTTAACTCTGCACCATGGAAGTTTTACTGTATTGCCTTTATGATTGTACTGTGAACCACCAGGCACAAAAGGAGGGCAGGCAGGCAGGCTATCATCCTTGTGCTAGCTCTCATCCTGCTAAGATAGGCATGGTATCTCTGTCAGAGTAATATAAGCTACCTGAATTAGATCTAATGAAATGGAAATAATGCTGTGAATGCCAGCCTTCAGGCTGCTACAACACTGTTTGACTGAGATTTATGTTTATTGTAATTAAAAGTATTTCTTACTGCATTAACACACCTTTAGGAATGTATGCTGTATACACAGCTAAAATAAAAAGTGGCACTAGTGTGAAAAAGAAGAGATTCAGCAAAATGGATGAGTAAGTATCTTAAGGTTATCCTAACATATGGTGTAACAGTACAGTAGTCCTCGAGTTACAACTGCAATTGGAACCAGAATTGCCGTTGCTAAGTGATGCAGTCATAAAGCTTGATGTCATGTGACCACATCACTTCGTGATGGCAATCTAGGCAGTCCCGGTTGTTGTGGTAACCCAAGACATGCAGGTCATTAGTAGGAAATGGAGGGAGCCCTCAGTAAGGAGAGCGGGGGTGCCGCAAGGGGGAGGGAGAGGCCACAGGAGGCTGGGTGCAGGCTGTGCACGAGTTGGGGTAGGGGGTGGGGGAGCTCAGAAAGGCCAGGGAATGAGAGTGTGGTGTGCAATCACAGGGAGACTGGAAAGAGGGTGGAGGGTGTGTGCAATTGTAGGGAGGACAAAGAAAGAGGGCACAGGGGTGCATGTGTGCAAGTGCAGGGAGGCTGTGGAAAGAGAGCGCAGGGTACGTGTGTCTGCGTGTGTGATGGTAGGGAGGCCAGGGAAAGAGGGCACAGGGTACATGCATACAATCACAGAGACGCTGTGGAAAGAAGGCACAGGGTGTGTGTGATCACAGCGAGACCATAGAAAGAAGGCATGGAGTGCGTGCAAGCAAATGGTGGAAGGAGGGCATGCGTGCAACTGAAGAAAGGCACAGGGGAGAGACTTATCCCAGCAACTTGCAACCTTCCTTGCTGGCCTCCCATTGCGTTTGCTGGGAGGAAGCTGGCAGGGAAGGGTGCAAATGGCAATCATGTGACTGCAGGACGCTGCAAGTGGTCATAAGTCCGAGCTGGTTGCCAAGCACCCGAATTTTGTTCACGTGACCGTGGAGGTGCTATAACGGCCAGAACTTCAAGGACTAGTTGTAAGTCCCTTTGTTCAGCACCGTTGTAACTTTGTATGTTCGCTGAATGGTTGTAACTCAAGGACTACCTGTAATAGCATAAGTTCACAGAAGAATCAATGGTCTTTTGAATGGCAGTTTGATAGTCCAAATAGTACAGCAGCAAACCCTTTGTGTTGAATCAATTGCCTCCTATAAGTGAACAAGACATAAACTGAAAATCTTGTCAATGTTTTAATAACTTCTTGCCTATGTTCTAGTAATCCCCTCCTTGCTGGTCTTTCCATTGATTCAAAGTTTCTATGTTAAATATTCTGCTCACAAGGACCACATACTTTCCTATCTTTTAGAATTTCCATATGCTGTTACTCTGAGGCTGGTTCACATAATAGTAGTTGAGTACATTGTATGAACCCATGTGGTTAACTTACGATACAGTGTGTTTTGTTAAGCAGGAAATTTGGTTAATTTGCCAAACCATGGTTAACCCAACTAGGATGATGTGCAAACACAGCCTAAGCATCAGGTTGAAGTTTAATTCATGTTCATCTCTTATAACTTCGTGTCAATTTCCCACTCTGCCACTATTCTTCTTACTTCTTCCTATTACGGAAGTCCCCCTGCTAATGACGGCCCCTCATCTTGTTAGTGTTCACCACTGATGGTGCTACTTATGCTTATAATTGAAAAGGTACAGTGACTTGCAGACAGACAAGTGCAAATTCATCCTTTTTCTGGTATCAGTTCTTCATGCATCTCTGATTATTTTAGTAAAGTTCAAGGCAAGTTGTCATGTGCCATGACAACTGTGGGAGGAATGGACCTAGGACATCCTGCTCCCTGCATGGAAGTCTGGATGGGAGTTTAAGCTCTCAAGCACTTTCCCTCCATAAGTCTTTTAAAATGCTTTAGAAAGAGCCTTCCCCGAAACATCCAAGACAGCCTGTTTATACTCAAGTATCGTGTGACTTTCCCTTAACTGCACAGTTGCTGTCCAAAACTCTTCTCCTACCTGCATCTCCTACCTGTAACAAAGAGCTTGCTGAAGTCTTTTGGAGCATGCAACACCCTGCTAATTCCAACATCTCATATAAAGCAGCAGTCAAAAATTAGAAATAAATATTCCCTCTGGATGAACCAAGTCAGAAAGCATGGAAAACCAGTGGTTCTATAAAGGGATTCCTCTTCGGAAATCTCTGCAAGTGGGAGCAGTGATGTACAGCAATTTCTCTTTGATGGATGGACAGTAAAAGGACTTTATGATGGACTCCAGAAGAAACTGTCACCTCATTAAATGAAAAGCTGAAGGGAGGAATTACACGCAAAGCTCACCGGGTACTGCGACAAAGAACTTAACAGCATCGCGATGCCCGTGGAAACAGAGCTGTGCGTGTGCCATTGAACAATAAGGAATGAAGGTTCCCGGGGTCACTTTATCACTGTTCTCATCTCCATACACACGGATTACATTGCCAGGACGGTTGCCAGAGCCTGCTGCTGCTTTGTTAGCTACAACGAAAGAAACAAAACATTTTCCTGTGAAATGGCAAATTGTAAAGAATGATTTAAGGAACCTGGTGGTATCCAATCTAGAAGCTAAAGCAAACTCAGATAAATAAAATAGAAAGGGCAACAAAATGCCAATTCAAGGCAAAGCTAGAAAGAAATAAAAGACAGCATGCTCAGTTATTGAAAGTACCTCAAGAAAAAAAAATGGAGTAGCTTGCTAGTCGAGCATAACTGCACATTTTTGTTATTTTAAAAGTCTATGTTCAGTACAAATAATGCTGAATAGGTCGTTTTAAAATACCAAACAACTGTCTAAGTATATCAATGAAATACCAAAATAGTCAAAATATTAAACAAAATTCTTTTTATATTTTAGAAGAGGAATTCTTAGGGTAGCCATGCTAATTTGTCATAGCAAACATCATAGCGCACTGTGGCACCTTTAAACTAAATACATTTACTGTAATATGTTTCCGTGAATAAACACAGCCTGCCTTGAAAGTGCTACAGAACTTTTTAAAGGAAGCCTTCCTTGGAAGTTATGAACGTTGGACCTCTTAAAGCCAACAGTACAATTATAGGGGATGAGGAACAGATAATAAAATGTTGTTGGCGAATTTAAGGGATCATTTTTCAAGTGCTATATTCCACTCCCAATTTTTTTTAACTTACAATTTTTTCCCTTTTTTCATGCTAGACACACAGAACTATCTCCATTTTGAACAGTGCTAGAAAAGGGAAAGAAATATGGTATGCAACAAAAGAAAATGGTGTGGATTAATGACAGCTACAAGGTTATGGTGTCACAAATGATGCTGGAAGGAAAACAAGAAGCCAGCATGAAAAGTTCAGCTGCAACCAAATACAAGGGGACTAAACTGTTGAGTAGGATTGGTGGTCATTCAGCAAACATAAAATACTGCAATGCAGGTAACTGCAAGTGGAAACACAGCTTAGGAACAAAGGGGAGGGGGTGAATTTTAGAGAAGTGGGAACAGCCTTCGGGGGGCTATTAGAGAAGCCTGAGAATCAAGGGGGGGGGGTTGGTTTGGGATCAGCACTTACCCCTCAGCCCCAGTAAACGTCCCTGGTGGAGGATTACAGCTAAAGTAAGAAAGGAGGAGAGGGGAAAATGGATAGGTGTGACAGCAAAGGAGAAGGATTAATCAGAACCCACAAATTGTGTTCTGCTATTTGAAAAGAGCTTCATATGCGAGCTCCTACCTAGCAAAGGCACATTTGTAGTAAGATTACTATAACACACACATTATTTCTTGTAGGAAGAATATGGGCAAAACAAATAGCAAATGATTATTACTGTTGTTATTGCTACAGCTACTACTTGTCGCCTACTGACAAATTGAGTTTCCTCTTTCTCTCTTTCTTTTTAAACAGATATTAAGACAGAGGTGCCAGGGCCAAATGCGCCCCCCCAAAAAAACTGGGCACAGGCCGAGAGACCTTAAAAGATGTTACCAAATTGTACGGTGTTAATATGATAGAAAGGGGAAAATATTAGGCACATGACTAGAGAATATCATGTTTTAATTTTTATTTAAAATGTAACTGAAAGGAAATTAGATGGCATTTTTATTCTAGCCCCACCTACTAGCATATCCATCAAAAAACAAATGTGTCCCATAGTTGAGAAAAGCTGGGCGTGCCCCCCGATGATAAAAGAAAAAGTGTCAACTTCTCTGGGGGTGGGGACAATCCATCTGCCTAGATAGTGAGCATTATGTGTCAAATATTAATGTGTCCGCTGGCAAGCAGGATCCAGAGTATCCAGCTTGTTTGAAGTTTGCTATTATGCAACCAGCAGCGTAAAGACAGCTTCTTAGAGAGACAAGTACTTACCTAGTTGTATGCTGTCCCACTAACGCTTTCCAAGACAATAAGGATAATGTCACAGACATCAACCTCATCGTTGTAAAATATAGTACCTCCTACAGGAGGCTACTAACAGCTTGTGCCTTATGGAAAACTGGTGGAAAATAGTTACTTAGCTATTTCTTCAGATTACAAGCCATTTCTAAAGAGCGTAGTAAGAAGCACACGCAAACTCCAACATGAAGTATTCCTTTTTTATTTATGGTGAATTTGAAAAAGAATTTTCACCGTTTAAAAATATGCATGATTTGAAGTATTTTTGTTTATTGAAGACACATAAGCCAAACCAGACATTTAATGGATGATCAATGTAATGGTATAGCATGGAAAACAATGCACATGGTACTCAAGCAATTAATATGAAAAAAGTTCATCATTATTATATTGCTAAAAAGTAATTATATTTACTATATAGCAACGTTCTGTAATGATCTATTCCACCGTGTTCTCTATATTGCAGAAGATACTAGAAAAACTTGTTAACTGATTCGTGTATTAACAGATCTGTATGTTTCCCAATGTGGAAACCCTAAACAGAAAAATATGGACTTTTTTCTTATTTAATTGCAGAAAATTAACAATTAAATAAAATAGCATTTCATAACTGCATGTATGAAAAAAATTAAAATTAATGTACAACAATTAAAATTAAGCTGCTCCTAGCACTTATGCTCAGAACAAAAGCTATCCCACCCCTTTATTTTTTCAGCTGCATAATGGGGTTGGAAGAGCAACAGAAGAAAAAGGAGACAGCTGCAAAGTCTATCAAACTAAAAAGAAGAGTGGGAAATAAAGCAACATTAAAGCAGAGGGCTAGAGAAGAAAAGAGAGATTGTAGAAAGAAACTGATCTGGAACAGAGTTGTTGAATGAGTGTCCCTTATAACCATTTACTCATAAATTAAAAAAAACTCTCTAATGTATTTAATCTTAACATATTTAACATCATGATATCTTTTAAGGCAATTCTAACACAAATTCTTCCTGAATTGAACATCGTGACTCTTGATAATCAAATCAACAGAGTAGGACTGAGGCACTACCCAAATTTTACCTAGAACAAGACCACATTTCAGCATGTCTTATTCTTCTGTATTAACATACAGAAAACTGGGTTGCAAGACCTTACATTCTCATAAGCAAAATTCATGATTTTCCTCCCAGTTCAACATTCTTGTACTCTAAAACTGCATGAATTTCTGCCCCACCATCAAGTCCTTACCAAGACTGCCTCAGTTTTAATGAGTTAAGCTGCCAGCCAGAGAAGAAACGGAAAAATCCCCGTAGAGTCCCAATTGACTGACTGATTGATTTGCTACAGTTTACATGATGCTCCAATCTGAGGATACTGAGAGGCTTACAATAGATCACACGTCATTCTGAGCATGGTTGAAGAACACTAAATACTGGTCTGTATTTCATATTTAGTATAAAATTGCTGGCATTCTTGGACACACCACTCATTCTTATAAACTTACTTTCTGTTAATGGTATTGAGATGATGACTCCATTTCCTGTCCCAACCCATAAACGATTGCAAGATACCATAAGAGCTGTGATTCTCACAAATGAAAATCCCAGTTTTCCTGTACCTGAAAGAAGTATGTAGCATTCATTAAAACATTAAAAAAAATTCTCCGGAGAAGATCTATAAAATGTTTATACCCAACTCCTTGTTTTGTAAACAAACAAAACAGCTTTGGAAACTCTCTGAATAACAAAGAATTCCTAACCAGTTACTCAGCTGCTATTTTGAAAATAGAAGACTTCATTCACAAAGAGATCCAAAAGAATCTCCTGGTTAACCCTAATTTCTTCTTCAGCCTGCTGGTCCTAGCACCACTCCAATGGCGAGTAACTTCCAGGGGACAGCATCAAGTGCAGCAAGAAATCAAATGCAGCAAGCTCAAAGGTACTTATACGGCTCAGCCCAGCCTTTCCCAACCTGCCCTGTTTCTGATCTGTTAGGACTACAACAGCTATGCTGGCTCAGAGTATAAGAATTACAAATACTGTAGCTAAATATTCTAGAGTGCATTGTACAGATGTTGCAGTTGCTGGGATTACAGCATATATTACATAATATGTTGTGCACGTGCACACACACACACATATACCTGTAAGCACACACATACTATAGTAAGAAACTGTTTTACAATAAATCTTTTTCCTCAATTCATTGTAAACTTCTATCCTTAGAAGTATAAAATGCATGTACAACGTATACTGTTAGCTATCAAATAAAATTATATTTTTCCTTTTCCAAGGAAAATATCCAGATTCCCCTTTCCTCCATTCTTTCAATGAGAATATTTCTTCATTTCAAAAAGATAAAAGTTTTTTTTATTTCTTGAGATGATGGTGTTGTCAGTGGCCTGCCTAGTATTATTTTTATATGGAAAATGTTTATCCACAATTTCTAGGATACTTCTTAAAATACTTAAAACATTATCTACCCAAGGAATTTGCTTCATCCAAAAAGAAAAAAAAGAAAAAAACTCCAAGGCCTGGGACTTACCTAGCATTTTGCTTACATAAGGTTCAATGTCAACATCTTGTAGGTGCTGGTAAGTGTGTGCATGGTAAAGACGGAGGGTTGAATCTAAACGAATGGACACCCACACTCCATCTCCCACCCAAGCCAGCTGTCTTACTTGGCTCTCCTTCCTTGGGTGTGCATCAAATGATTTCTAAGAGAAAATTATGGCTCAGTTAAGACTTCATAACAAAGCACTTCTCCACACTCCTATTTACCCTTTAAAATCCACCCAAGCATCTAAGAGTCTTCATTAAATAACACATGATCATTTTTTCTCCCTCTCTATATTGTGAAAAGACTGTCAATGCAAGTCTTCCCATCCCTTGATTAGTATCTATTGTTAGTTAGCTCCTGAGTTCTGAAAATGCTATTTTTAAAATGTTCATGCTAATGTCTTATTTTGTTCCATCTGTTTGGCCTTCAGTGATATTTTCTCTATACTGTATATACTCATTTCCTTTTAAACTTCCCTTTTTCTATGTTAGTTCTCATCCAGTGCTCTCCCCTAACTCATGAGGGAATTGAAGGGCTTATAATAGGCAACGCTGACTGTGTTATGGGGAGGAGCAATGGAGCTTTGCTATCCTTAAAGCAGCAGGCTCATAACCAGGATCCAACACATTATTTCCAGTTCCTATTCAATATACTACCCGGATCACTGTTCTATGTTTATTGCTTCTCATGACAGACCTAAATTCTTCTGGTACATTTAAGTAGAGAGGGTGGGTGACATGCATCAGTGTGGAAGGCACTGAAAAGTAGAGGAGAAAACCAGATCCCTGCTTCAAAAAAATTACCATCTAATGTTGGAGATAAAGAGAAACAAGAAACAGGAATAAATTAGGAAATGCTAAGTGAAACCCGCTACCAAGCAGATATTCTGAGGGGTAACGAAACTATTTTGAGCAGAAGACCTTTTGATATTGAGCAATACAGGTAGTCCTCAGTTTAAGAACGAGTTCTGTTCCTTAAGTCAAATTTGTAAGTAAGTCGGAACAGTATTCTTGTAGAATATTGTATAAGTAGTATTTTGTAATTAACTGGAACCACTGGGCATTTAACTCGAATGTTGCTACAATAGGCTCCGTTCTTAACTATGGGTCATCCGTAAACCAGGCATTCTTAACCCGGGGACTACCTGTAGTGAAACTGAAGGTATGAGGCCTATGGACAGGGATGTCCTGAGATTTAAGGAACAGATATGGACAAGGAACTTCTGCTAGACATGCAACAGAATACAAGCCAGTGCAAACACTGGAGGAAGAACATGACATTTCTCAACCCTTAGTACTGAAAGACTGTTTTACTGAATAGGCTGTGCAAATATTTAAGGAGTTAATTAGGGCCCCCTAGATTCAAACAAGATAGTGGCTGTTTATAGTGGCTGGCAGTGTTTTTCCTGGTTCTACGGCATAAATAGCAGAGACAAAAAACACCAATCCAGTTTGAGGAAATATTTTGTTTTCACTTGCCTCTATTTTCATTGCTTTTGGCTGAACCACATAGATTTTATTTCTGTAGCCACACCAGACTTTATCATGCACCACAGTCATACATCGAATTGAATGATGAGGTCGTCCAAGATCTAAGAGATGATAATTTGTCAAATCCCACTGTCCATCTATAAAGAAAGAAACAGTTAAGGAAGTCAGAAAAACTGATTTACAAATGTGTACATGAACATGTATTATACACTACTACACTTCTAATTTTTAATACCTTTAAATACAACTGTAGTCTAAAATCACAGAATTGGTGAATTAGATGATGGCAACAGTTATCTAGTCCAACTCCTTGCCCATGGAGGAAATCAGTCATTATATTACATCTCTTTATTTTTGCAGCACTGTAAAATCCACTGTAGAAAGGCCTAAGAAGCGCACACTCTATTTTCAAAAATAATAGCCAAATTTTCCCAATATTGAAAGAGCATTCACGTAAACTGAAGAGCCATGATAAGGAGTTATTTAGATATAGTGAGTTAATCTCTTCACATTCAATTATCCTTCAACATGCTTTATGGAAGATATACCACTAGTATATTACCGATATACATGACAGCAACCAATATTAATGGCAGTCTGTAAAGTCTTGTACATTTTAAGAGACAATCAAGGTAAATAGGCAGAGAGGAAACTGATACAACCTAAAGAAAAAAAATATTTAGGAAGAAATGGACAACTGGACAACTCTTTGAGGAAGAGGGTGATTCTGGCAGTTTTGAAAGAGGCGCTGATCCACTTTCTCAAGAGGCCTTCCTTGGATCCACTTATATTAGACAAGAAAAGTGTTAGAGCAACAGCCAGAGTGCCCTGGAAGAGACAGATTATTAGGACTCATGGCAGTCAGGATTTAGACCCAGATATGGAACTGAAACTGCATTAGTCACCCCCTTGGGTGACTTGTGGCAATATCTGAATGGGAGGCAGGGTGACCATCCTTGTGTTGCTAAGCCTCTTAGCAGCTTTTGGTACCACTGATCACATTCTCCTTATGGGCTGCCTACCTAGGATGGAGGCAGTGTTTTATGGTAGTTCTGCTCATTCTTGTGTAGGAGGTTTCGGTCAGTTGTTGTTGGGGTGGGGGGAGGATTCAAGTCCTTAGATCCTCCATTATGAAGTGGCTTGGGGCTTGGTTCTCTCCCCTATCCTGTGTAACATCTATATGAAGCCATGGGAGAGATCATCTCCAGTTCAGAGTGGAGTATCCTCAATATGCAGATGATACCCAGCTGTACATCTTCCCTCCTGGGCCAAATGGAGGTGCAACAGAAACTCTGACCCACTGTTTTGGGTCTGTCAGAGTCTGAAAGGGGAGGAATTGTTAGGATATTCTCATGGGAAGAAAAGCAACTCGCTTATCTCCAAACAATTGTTTTGACTATAAAATTTACTTATACTCAGTGTACACTTATACACTCAGGATCAATTCCAATCAAGACAGAGTGACTATTCATTCACAAGCCTATTGTTTCTGGGATTTTACCATATTTGATTCTTGACAGGGTCCCTGGAGGATCCTCTTGGACTCATGGCTCCTCCTGGAATAGCAGACAGAAGCCATGTCCAGGAGGGAGTTTACACGGCTTAGGATAGCTTGCCAACTGCAGCCTTAACTAGAATAAGGAGCACTTAAGAGTCAGTAATGGCTTACTGTCACTTGCTTCATATGGGGCTACCACTGAAAACTTCAGTTGGTGCAAAGTGCAGTGACTCATAGGCTTACTAGACATTCTCATTACTGGCATGAACACCACTGATGTTACAGCTGCACTTGCTACTGATATGTTTCCAAGTACAATTCAAGAAGTTGGTTATCACTTACAAAGTCCTATAAAGCTCAGGACCTTGGTGTTGAGAGGCGTGATGGGGGGGGAGGGCAAAAGTGGAGAGTCTCTGTGGAGGCTCCTGTCATCTAGAACACTTTGCCTCCCCCCCAAGGGTAGTTCCCACTCTTAAGGCTTTCTAGAAGCTCATGAACACTTTGCTGTTCTGGAAGACTTTTGAGATTAGAGTGCTGTACAGCTTCCAGTGCCAAGAATGTTACATCAATTATAATCTTTTAAACTGCATTTTTATTGTATATTATTGTTATTATTGAATGAGGGGATTGGTAGCTGTTTTTTTTTACATACCACTTAGAGCCACCATGATTGGATTGGTTTACATATTCATAAATGAATATGCACTGAATGAATTACTGAGCGAAACATTATTGGTCAATAGTACTTCAAGAATTACAAACTGCCCATTGAGCAGATCATCTCTGAAAATATACAAGGTTTCCAATGTATAAATCTTTCAGAACCAGATTAATAGTGTTAAATACATGACAGTTCAATATACTGGAGCAAAGCACTTACCAACTCCTCTATGAAATATTGCTAAGGTTCCATCGGCTAGTGCAACTAGTACTATTCCTTTTACGTGTCTATATTAAAGAAAAGGGCAGAAGTTATATTTACTACAGTTAACAGTATTAAACTGATATGTTTGTTAATTCCACTCAACATTTCATATACACATTTACAGATTCAGCCAAGCCTTCTTCTCCCTTAAACTGTAGAAGACCCCATGCTGTAAGAATCCATAATGCATGCCATCTGTAAGAGACATGGGTATTGGAGGAGCAGAGTGTCTATTAAAATTATCATATCAACAACTGACTAACATACTGAATCAAATGTACTCAGAGTGCCTTTAAGTTTTCAAAACATTTTTATTGGCCAAACATATGAGAACTTCAATCTAATATTTCAAAATGAGAATGTATTGAAAACTTCCAGTTTTCACATCTGTTTGACCACTAACAAAGTTTTCATGTTCTACATTTTGTACTAAGTAGATTATTGGTGGGCAACCTGTGGCAGGAAACTGTAATATTAATGGAAAGGGGAAACTGTAGGGACAAGATAAGGAAAAGAATTAAGTACAAGCAAGAATGCAGTATGTGTGAAAAGTGCACATAAATAGGTGTTTATATGAGTGCAGTCCCAAACCAGAAATTCTGCAGCCTTTACAGTAGAACAACTGCTCAACCAGGAAGGAGACTTAAATAAACCTAAAATGGCTATGTGCAATGTAGGCTCACTCAGCACACATGGGGCAATGGATCTCTCACATCATATCAGAAAATATGGCTGAGTGCTTTTCACCCGTTTCTTTAATAGGCATCATCTTCCAACAATTAATGTATCCAGGATTGATCCTTATTAACATATTCATGATCAAAAGCCAATTTTCATGACTTAATACCACCTCAATATTCTTTTTTCTCAAAAATAAAAATATAAGCCCTTCAACAGAAATGAATACTCTAAAAGTAATTCTCACTCTGCATGAATTAGTTCTAAATTAGGGAAGTACAAATTCATTTGTAACTACTTACACTATACTGAGTATTGAATCTTTAAGTTTAATTGCATGAACACATTTTCTCCACTGAGCCACTGAAGAATGAACATATAAACTGCAACAATAAAATTAAAACAAGTTAGAAATCCAAAATCCCCACATCCATGTTAGCAATTAAGAACAACAGTGTCACTTAGAACTGGTAGCTTTAAAAAATGGCAATAGTAGAAAATAGGCTACAAGTTGACTTAAACATAGATTTATCGACAGGCTTTAAGTTTTCTCAACAGCATCTCTTTGCTAATGCTTCTCCGGGTGCTTTGGCTTCCTCCCAAATGCATCCTGATGACCTTACGAGTGCTTTTTGTCAGAGATTAGGCAGGTGACACCCAGGAAGAAGAAGGCGCACTTATGGGATACTCTTCCCAGAAGATTCAAATAGCCCCCCCCCCAGCTTTATATCCTTTTGTTGCTAGATAAAACTGAAATTCTTCAGAAGCCTTTTTATACTGTAGATCCAAAATGTTAAAATTTGCTGATTTTAAAATGTTTATGTAATTACTGTTTGTAACTGTTTTTACTACATAAGAAATGAATAAAAAGAGTAAAAGAATAAAATGTAAAAGTAGGGATCCCCACAGCGGGATTGGATAGAATTTAGAGAGCAGCTGGTAACATGGAAATTATTCTGAGGATTGATTGATTGATTGATTTGTCAAATTTATATAGCTGCCCATTTCACAAAACAAATGACTGTGGGCAGTGTACAACAAAGGTTCCTGTATCAAGGGGTGGACTTTTAAACTTAACGTTCTGAGTGGGATTTTAGCATTTTCAGCAATAACAGCTCCTAAGAAGAAAGCTGCACTAGCAACGTGTACACTAGGTAATGTAAAAGCAGGATGGTAATTTTATACATAAAGCAAAGTGGTAATTGCAAATTTTGCATTCTTTACCAAGGGAAGGGATCCACTCTCTGGCTAATTCTGATGGCTTCTGTGCTCAGGGGTAGTTTAAATCAGAAAGGACAACAGAAAAGGCACCTTTCTAGTAGAGCTTTACATTTAGGAAATGTAATTCTAGGAATCTACTGCACAAACTTCTTGCTATTGGTTACAGGCTTGGCTTTAAGATGCCTTCCCCAATACGGAGCCTCTAGATGGGGCTGCAATGATAGGTTTTTCTAAAGACCTTGCTTACAGGAACCAAAGCTCCCATTTTGCTGGTGTTGCCTGTCAGTTCAATGCAACTATAGTGCTGCCTTGACCAAGGCAGTGATCAACATACAGGAACAGCCTCTGGCTAATAATCCACAGTTCAGCCCACTTGTATACTGTGCGCGTAAGTCCCTGTTCTGCCCAGCACAGTTTGTTTACTCCCTTATCAGGAAAGACTGCCGTGTTCTTTTTTTGTTTGTAGGTCTGGAAGTGTCATATTTTCTCAGCCACATTTTTTCAGCCATGACTCAGAAGCAAAGGAAAGAAGAAAGCAAGACACGTTTCTTTTAAAAAGTGGGAAATTGTTACAAGTAATGTGTTAAAAGAAAGGACCTGAAGAAGCTAGCTCTGTTCTGAGCAAAAATCAGGAAAGGACTGAGGATGAGTGCTGCAACAACAAATCTAGTAGACATGATTTGTAAACTTTCCTGGTTGACAGGAGGACTGCTTTCTCCACATCAAAGCAATGTGCTATTCCACGCATTTTCCCCCCAGTAAGAACCATAGCATAAATAGTTACACTTATCTAAACCTTATTTCTAAATATCAGCTTTAATTAGCTGAGTCTCACTTCCTAAGCAGGCCAATGAATGACTAGGGATGAGTCCCAATTAGTATTCATTCACTGAAAATCTCATCTGGAATTAGAATTTGCAACTAATGTTTAAAAAGAGGTATTTAGCTATGGTACAAAACATCTGATCTGACACTGTTCCAAGCTAGTTTTAGAGAGAACTGTTTTGAGCATGGAACACTTCCCGAATTGGCCAGAGCCACCAATTTCAAACTCAAAATACTTTGCACACTGCCAATATTTAGTATTCTTACTCCAAAAATATTATTATTAACAAAAGTACAAAAAACAGACTTACCATCCATTCTGTGCTCCCAGCCACATAGTAGGTAAAAGACTACTCATTTTTTGCGCTTCTTCTCTCACAAGATCCTGCTCATTTGGTAATTCAACAACATCTTTATACAACTCTGACTCACTGCTGAAAATGGAAGAAAAGGTCAAATAGTTAAAAAGTATGAAAAAAGACTGCTGGAGTTTAAAACAATTCTACAGCAGATTAAGTCAAGTGCTTGTGTTTTGAGGCAATTAACTCTATGGAGAGTTAGGAGAGTTCTCATAACCACCATCTGATGTAAATCTAGTTGGTTTTTTTTAACAATTCCTCTGAAAATTCTCATTTCAAAAACTTACTTGGACATGTTTTTAAACCAGGGGCCTGACTAGTTTTTTCCTATCACTGTAAAACAGCTACATTACCTATCAACAGATTTTGATAAAGGGACTACATTTAAGAAAGATACTAGCAGTTGACGACAAATCAAGTATTGCTTTCAGCCCTAAGATCACAGAACTGTCACCAACAACTTCTATTTATTTCAACATCTTTCTGTGTAAATTCAAACTATAATGTAGAATGGGGATGCCAGGAAGTGAACTCCAGTTTGCTATTTTCCTAGTCCAAAATGCCCCCTTTCCCAAAGCAGCTGTCTCCCAAACTATCCACTGTTCAACTCCCTATCAAAGAGTAAGTTACTGCAGTGAAAGGGGGGGAAGGAACAGGCAGAAAATGTTTTTCTCCCTACCCTACAACTTTGAGCTAAGCCGTGGTACAGGAATAGCACTGGTTGTTCTGACAATCTACTGAGGGAGCATAACAGGGGAAATATATCCCAACATGTGCTCTTTAATCTGTCATTCTTTTTTTATACCACTGACAACAGTATCTTTCTGGACTGCCTTAGATGGCTGGAGGTTAGTAGCCCAGGTCCAAAAGCAGGTTTCAGTCATGGCACTTGGAAAATACTGTTCCACCACATAGCCTTCTTTCCCCTGTGGTGTTCTACACCTACGTATATGAACTTGCTGGGAGCAATTGCCAGGAAGTGTGGGACTAGTTGTCATCTTTATGTGGAGACCATGCAGGTCTATTCGACTCCCTCACTGACTTCTGCTTGGACTGAACTGCAGTCTGGCTAAAGTTGAACCCAGAAAGTCCAAGGGTCTAGGGACTGGCTTAGGGTCCTCAATCAGAAAGAAAGGACTCTCCCTGTTCTTCATGGGGTTGTTTTTCCCTGCTCCTTGGGGTGCTCTTTGTCCCTGTACTGTAGGACTCATCAGCACAATTTGGAATAGAGAACTGAAATATCCCATATTACAAATAAATGATCTCAGGTTTTAAGAACTATTAAGTATCTTTCATATGATTTAAAAACTTCCCAACAGATGTTTAAAAAGAATTGTGATTGTCCATCGATATTGGAGATGTTAACTTTGAAGGCACATTAATGAATAAGCTTTGGTCATGTCCAATGGCAGTTCTTTTTTGCCTAGCTATTATTACCATGATGAACCAGGTTCTTGGGAGAAAAGTAAGGTTTAAAAGAATTGTGCTGCTAAACTATGTATCTCCAAACTGGATTCTTTTTTCTATTTATGAAGAGCTTTGTATCTATTGTGCCTGGACAGTAACACAATAACAGTAAAAAGTTAATGCCTTTGTGGAATGATTTGTGTGCCCCAGACTCTAAAGACTGGCTTAATGAAATCTGTTAACTCTCAAAATTCAATTCAAAAGACTGTGAATTGGCACTTTACAGTATTGACATAAATGAAAGACTGGACAATATGATTCTATAGGATCAAGATTTGTTGTTTAAAAATTGAGCCTGTAGCAATTTTTATAAAGATGTAATTAGTATTTTAGTACTGTTAGGGGAAAAAAAGCATGTTTTTTTATTTTTTTTCTTTTACACGTTAGCTTATTGATTTTTTAAATTTAAATTGTATATAGTTTTTGTTTGAATTGTTCAACCGATATTCACAAGTTTTGCATTTTATTTCTATCATTATTTATAGAGTTTATAAAATCAATAAAACATATATTAAAAGTCAGCTGGTGGTAATGAGTGCTTATTTCCAGCTGCAAGCAATATATGAATTATGTCCTTTCTTGGAGGACACATCTGGTTAGAACTGACAAACTCCTACTTATTGTAGCATATTCTAAGTTGGGATGACCAGGATAATTGCAAAAGGTATTAAACACGGCAGCCAGGCTTCTGTCAGAAGCTTAACACACCAATTCTAGCCAAGCTACTCTGGCTCTCATTAGATTCCTGAGTTAAATTCATGGTGCTTATTATTACATAAAAATAAATAAAAAGCTTGGGCTGTGTCTATCTGAAATGGCTTTCCTCATATGCAGCTTTCTGGGAGCTATGATCTTTGTTCGGACATATTATGTGAAGACCCAGCTCTCTGGAGAAGGCTCTAATGCTGGGAAAGATTGAAGGAGAGAGAAGAGGACAACCAACAGCATGGTGGATAGACTGAGTTATAGTGGCAATGAGCGTACCATCGGAAGACCTTGGAAGACCTGAAAGACCAGGTTATTTTCTCCATCATCATGGAGAAAATCTATCTATGCAGTTGCTAAGAGTCAACAGTGACTTGATGACACATAATCAATCAATGATCTCTGACCAAAAGTCTTCTGCACATACCGCCTCACCAGATGGAGGTCTGGCTTACCTAAAAACTACTAGGACTAGGGCATTCTCAGTGGTAGTCCTGGCCCTATGGGATTTCCTCTGATTATTTGATCTGTTTTAAAGAATATTTTGAAACAGGCATGAGAAGAGCTATTACTGGGTTACAGGTTAGATCATGAGCATGCAATCTGTACTTAGCTCTAACGCATACATTTGTCTCAGTGTTATGCCATATTAAACCTGAAGATATATATGAAGTTTTAGCACCTGGTTTTCACTGTAGGCTTTCTGCTATATAATCCATTTGATAATATTGGAACATTTGTCTTAAAAGACCAGCACATCATTTTATTTAATGCATCATTACAGAAATGGGAATTCTGGCTGACCAACTTTTCTTTGGCCACTGATTACATTAAGATTCTTTTAGCATGAAACACTAAGCCTGAATTCCTAAAACACTGACTTATTTTGAACTGGCAATACCACAAAAGATTTTTTTTAAAAAAATGGGTGGAGAGGTCAGTAGCTGGATTACTCGTCCCACCCTCTCCAGTAGATAGGGTCAATTTCTTATTATGTTCCTAAGCACACCAAAACAGCAACTTCCCAGCAAATGTACAGAACCAGCCAGCAGAGACAGAAACTTTGTACAGAAGAAAGACCACATAAACAGAAGAAATAGTTTACTGCACCCACTGTGGGAAAAGGACCCTCACAGTAAGTGTAGCACATTACATTTTCCTATAGTAGAGCACAGTATCCATAGTTGGATACTATGGATACACAGAGGTCCCAATACAGTAGGAGTTATTTGTGGAACTTTTTTCACCTGAAGCACCACCTGCAGCAGGATCCTTATGCTAAAGGAAGCATCAGTAAACATCTCCATAATGGACTTATTAGTATCTTACAAAGAAGAAATGGAGAACCACATAGTCATTTTATATTGTTCAGGAGATGATTACTAGAGTAGCTGATGTAACTATGCTCTGTGAGGCACAGGCCATTATTCCTGCTGGGGCAATACCTTACTAAGCTACATAGCAGGAGGAGGTGCAGGTGTAGGTCCAGATACAACTGGCAACCATTGCCAAGAATCCCTTCCAACCTAAGGAAACTTGCTGAAATCAGATGAAGAAATCAGATGAAGAAATTTTGTGAGATAGTGATTCTTGTCCAGGCTGTTTCAACTGCAGATGTCCAGTTTGTGCCACTGTTTCTTCAGATGAATGGGCAGATGGTAAACAAAGATCCTGTTATCTGCAGAAAGTTGAACTGACTTTAAGGCATAAATTCTCTTTGAGCAGAGAATATAAAAAGGTCACACAGAGTTCAACCCTGACAACAAGATGCTATTCAGATGCATGCTCAGCAGATTTTAGAGATATTAAGAAAGCTATTTTCCAAGTCAAAGCCACTGTTTGAATGGTCTGAATGGGTCACACATCAGGGATTTTAGGACCAGGTGTCTGTCTCATAAGAGTAATTGGTGCATACATGAAGACTTCAACAGAAATGTTTGCGCAAGAACAGCTTGATGTGTGAGTGTGTGGATACAGACCATCCTTCAGCATCTGCAAGAACTTGTGCCAATACTGAGAATTTCCATTTCAGCATGCTCCATTGCAAGCACTGATCCAGTTCAGACTGAAGGAAGGCAAGTACCTGAGGAACCAAGGTGGACAGGGGCTGAATCCCATTTGTCCTGCTCCAAACACAAAAGGAACATTTGGCAAATGTATATATCCGGACTGTAAACATTCCAGGAAGCAAACAGATCTCTGGAGATACTTGAGTGATCAGAAAGAAAAGAACCAAGAGAAAAAAAGCAGAAAAGGGGTTCCTGTGACAATGTGTGTACCAGACCAGGCAGGAACAGAAAACTGGCTGGGAGACTATTGTCTTCCCTACTTTTAAGGAAACAAACAAAAGTGGTCCTGGCTACCAAAGTTAGGGAGAAGGGTGCCCCAGCTAGACATCTTCCTCCACTGTATAAAACAAGCAGGCTGAAGTCACCATGCAGCCTGCTTCTGCTGATTCTCTCCGTCAGCAGAAACAGTAGAACTAGGAAGACTCATCTCAGGTTAACTGAGATCTCCACTTGTCATTCCCACCCAAGACAAGAATTAGAACGCATGAACAAACCATGACTTCAGATTCCAGCTTATTAGGAAAAGAAAAAGGTTGGGATCCTTGTACATGAATAATGTTAAAGAAAACACAGACAGTAAGCAGAAGGAATTTAAAAAGCACATACCAGCACTCCTGACCATTCATAGGAAGCAGGTATTTTAACTTGCTACTTTTGACTTTGAATAACATGTAAAGGCTGCCAAAAGATTCTCTCTTTGCAATATGATGTGTTAAACCTGAACAGCTATTCAAATAACCAGTTAATATGTATTTGGTATTTTTATATTATTTTTCTCTATTTGATTTTTATTGTTTTGCATTGTGAGGTGAGCCACCCAAAATGTTTTGCTTAAGATGGGTGGCCATATACGTATATTTCCTAAATAAATAAATAATACTGGAAGTTATTTATATGTCAACAGCACACTTACCCGTGCCATTTAAAATCAGGTGCTGCAGCTACCTGATCCACAGAAGAATTGGTTTATTTCCTTACTTACTTGGGCTTAACTGCTGCTCTAATTAATGGAGTAGCTTACATAACCCTCTCCAGTAAGAGGACTGCGAAGAGTACATTAAAATGGCAAAAGAAGGGCAAGACAAAGCAACAAATTACAACTGCAGTGAACTTTTTGCCAAAGAATAAACATACACCAATGCATACTATAGCAGGGGACTTCCTTCTTCCCAATAACACTTCACTCCAAACTCTTTGGAACAGCCAGGGTTTAATAGCTTTCTGGATGTTAACAGGGAGAGCCCTAGTCTAATCAGGTGGCCGCGTAGGAATACTGTTCCAACAAAATGGGAGCTGAGCCTGAGAAAGCTTGTCCCCCAATCTGTGCAGATGGCATTTTCTTAAAGAAGAGATCCAAAGACAGCCCACTCTTCCAGATCTTACTGGATGGGAAGAAACCAGCGGGAATAGTGAAATTTTCTCATGAAGAGCACAGCATAACCTATTTCCATCAGCTGCTTCATACTGCTAGTACAAAATAGGCATACCTAGACTGGAAAGCTGGAGAACCTTCTACAGTATCTTGGACTCCCAAAGGATCTGTGAAGACATGCTCTGTGTAAACGCCACTTTGTGCAATATCTGCTACTTCTTCTCCCAAGCCAGCACTGACTTCTGTTGCTTCAGTTGCTTCCTCTGCTGTCTGTATATGTTCATCTACCGCATCATTTTCAGCTGTAACATCTGAGTAAATTTTTCAATTATAGGTGAACTCGAATGATCATTCAGCTCCCTGCTGTTATGAAGCATGCACGAATTTAAGTGTATTAATTAGTAATTCCTTTTCAACTTCTTCAAACATTCCTTTCTGTTTTCTCCGCTAAGAAGCTGTACTTAAATTAAGATATAGGAAGCATGATAGTGAGAAGATAAATGAGGAATTCACCCATCTTATCTACTTGCTGTATTCATCAGTGTACACATTCTCCATCCCTGCCCCCAAAGTAACATACTGCAACGGATAAAAAGTATGATGCTATCTGCTGCAAAAGGTATTATATATTTAGACTCTTCCAAACTGAAATTATCCTCCTTCGTGAACTTAGCAGTGAACATGGGGTTATTTCATCATTCCATACAACATACTTTAATTTTCCAGTTCACTGATGGTTACTTTTATTTTTTTTTTATTTGATTTATACACCCCATCCGACTCAAATAAATATTTACAGCGGCTATTTATTAATAGCATCTCCTTCTCTTCCCAAAGCTGAACCTCACCAAAAGACTGTGACAATTAGCCCTAACCTAATTCGCCCCAAAGCAAAGGGCAAGCTTCGGCCTCAATCCAAAGGGCTTTTTGGAACGCCATGCTTAATCTGGTTAGCATTCTGGGAAGGCCCTTCTGTGCACACTCCCACCCCATCTTTCCTTTCTCCCCTCAGCCACAAGGAAATCAGAAATTGTTAAAACTAACCACTGTTTATTGTTGCCTTTAAACCCAATTGACTCAATTGGAAAGTCAAAACTAAAATCCTGGAAGATGGCAACCACTTCCATATTGTTGCTGAGGAAACTATGTCAATGTGCCTACAAAGCTGCTAGGAGCTTAACTCAACATTAAGGAGAGTTAACCTCTTTTTAACAGAATGGTAAGTATTTTTATACCTGGCTGTTTGTTTATGTCAGGTAAGGCAGCATTGGCACTCTGGGTAGCAGCAGATCCTATAATGCCTTCAGCTGTACATCCAACTACTGTGATTCCTCCTAACAGACTGTCTGCTTCTGCTGAACTGTTGCTATTTACACTGCCACACAAGGATGACTTATCCACTACACCAGAGTCTGGTTCCTGTGATCCTTCTTCTCCTGTAGGGTAGTCGGTCTCTCGAGCCCCTGGAAGAAAATGTTACATGTGTTAGCTTGACTATAGTTACCTTCCAAAAGAAAAGAACATATGTAGCTCAGGGCTGAACTGTGGAGTCCTAGGTGCTCTCTGAGAGAGAAACCACATTTACACACCATTCAAAGGAGACAATAAAAAAGCTGAGAAGGAAATAAAAAGACCAGAACACATCCTCTCCAGCAGCCAACACCCAGATAAG